CTTCAACAACATTTTCATGAAAGACTTCCGTTCTGCTTTCATAGACAGAACTGCGACCTATGTATCTATTTACTAAGCCATACAATTAGCTTATTCGTATTTTTCAGATTCTAGAACTCACTTCGCTCCTAACAGTTTTCTTCTAAAATTTAGTTTATAAAAAATATTCTATCGTTTCCGATGTACTGTAACTCGGTGATATATTTTTACAGAGAAGAATCTCCTAGCCTCTGAATTTGACAATCCCCGATAGGCAGTTGGTCGCTGTGCCTATTACGTAGCTCAACTGCCCTGATTGACACCACTATGTGCTAAAGCCGGTGCATTTCTTAATGAAACGTTTTCTTTGTCGTTCTTGTCTAGTTTCGTATTGTAACTAGAACACATGAGGGGTTCTCAGCAAACTGACATGCCGCGTTGTAACGTCCATTAGACTTTGACACTACGCCAGCTTGCATGGTGCTACGGTTTTCACGAGAAAAGTCGATAGATAATAGATATAGTTCTTTAGCATTGGCACCGACAACTCTGTTCTGTTCGAAGCAGTGCCTAATATCATGTATCCTTGTGCTACAGACCCTTCGTTTCATCCCTATCTTGGAATTTCCTCGGAGCGTGTTACCGAGTGTAAAGAGATAGCGTTTTTCGTATAGCTCAATTTATAATTATAGCCCTTTCTGAACAGTATGTTGAATTTAGAAAAGCTACCTTATCTGACTCTGTCACTGATATAAATGATTACTACAATTGACGACCTTTATGGGGGACTACGACCTCCTTTGTTTTAAATAATAAACATCACCCTCAATGCGGACACTAACGATTCACTCATACTAACAAGCAAATCCTTGATGCTAAAATTTATTTAGTACCTTCATTTTAGCAAGGCCCAAAATTTTTCCGCAGGACTTCCTGAGTTCAGCATTTGGCTGCTGTGCCTTAGGTGTATAAATTGCTGTCTCTCCTATTTACTCACTAACGTTTGTTAGAAAGTAACTAACTAACGTTTGTTAAAAAGATTTTGTTTCGAACAAAAAATGCCACACGATTTAATCGGTTTTTGAAGATATTGAAGAGTAGAGTAGCACCAGTTTCAGCATCAGCTAAATAATACGGCGGTCTGATATTAGGACAGTGGTGCATGGATATGTGTTTGTGTAGCGAGCTTTTACAGCATATTACAGAACAAGAGGTACCGAGGGCATGAACGTCGTCCTGACATCAACAAAACGACCCAATTCGACCTGTGAATTAAGATTAAAGCAAAAAAAAAAAATGGTAAAATGAATTTTCAATAGCTTAAGATCTATCGAGAAACTCTCTATAGGAAGAAATGTTTGCATCCTTAAAAATAGAATATTTTGAAACATGTAAACAAAACCCGAAATCCGTTTGGGCATTATGCAACGACGTCCTCAACGTGTGAACGAGATGCTTTGAACAACGAAACTTTTCATTGAAAAAGCTTAAAGCTAAGCGTTAAGCGTTCCTTTAGACGTATGGTTTTTTGCTCGAAACCTAATGTGTCTAAGCTAGCATGAGCCTTTAAGTAGACAAACACGCTACAGAAGTTGTTGACAGAGTCTAGAAGTACTTGGTTGCCATCGACAGCGCGGAACTGCTAATGTAATAAATTACTAATAACGTAATCTAGGAACCTACGTACTGTTAACTGGTTATTTACGTCCTTTCATTTCGTAGTACAATATTAAAAATAAGTAAGTGTTAGAAAAATAAAATAATTAGAAACGAATCTTGTGAATTGAAATCAATTATGCATATTTATCAGGTATCTAAGCAAGTTACATCGCCATCTTCCAATCAACGGGGTACAGCAGATCTTCAGCGCACAGAATAACAAACCTTACAAGATTGGAATGATAGTAGCTATGGTTATTATCAATGTATAATAGTTACCCTAACTTGATGTACTGATCTCTGGTGGTTCTACTAATTAAATGTTCCCAAAACGAGACTATCAAAAAAGCTGGCTTCGTGCTTTCAGAGACGAAAGTTAAAATATACTTGGCGTCCGTTCGTAGAAGGCCTCCACCGCCTGTTAGAGTCGTTCGAAATAGCCTTCCTTGTTAGAATTGTCAAGCCACGCTATGTGTCAAGTCGTTGACTGAAACCGATTGTGAGCTGAAAAGGACGATAATATATATTTTTTGCAAAGTAGTATTATTTTGCTAGTAGGAGAGTCGGCAGATATCCACTAAAAAGACACACAGCTATCAGATAAAAAGAACAGCTTACAAAAAATATAACGGCAACAGATTTCGTCCGATTCGCCTTGGAAGTCTATGACGGAAGAGTGAACCGTGTTCACATTGTTATCTTATCCTTTTTTCTAAATGGGACAAAATGATACCGAACAGATAATCGTTAAGCTCTACGAATGGATGCCAGCACACAGGTGATTGGAGTCCAAAGCGACAATCATATAGACCCTTCTTCCGACCAAACCAAGGAGTCATTATCTCTGCCTTACTTAGCCTATTAGGGAATTTCTTGGCTGGAGATGTACTGAGCCTACCGCAAAAACTGCCGAGTCTGCTCCTTCGTAGTTTATGATTTCGTTGTTGTTACATGACATCTTTGCTGTTTAACTGTTACGTTGCTGAATATACATTTTTTTAGAAGTACAGGAATCAAATCTGTGATACTGCCGGATATTTACAAGTTGATGATGTACGATGCCACTTCGTAAGTTGGACGTTCACGTTTTTCCTGAAGGAGAACTACAATCCTACGGAGATAATGCAAACTCTAGTAATAGGTTCTTTTCAATACCGCGGCAAAATTTTCTCCACATTTGAAAAGTCCAATGATTTTCTCTGAAAAGCCAGCAAACTGACTTTACATATATTATTGACATCTTGCTGTCGAATGTTCGTGAGACGGTTTTGCTTCACTAAAGGTAAGGGCGGACCTAAAAGGGTAAGAGCAAATCTGACCACACAGAAAGGCCAAAGATCATCGTAACGTCAGTGTGTAGCAGTTATTGCAACGTAGCAACGCTAAACTTAAACTTAAGTTTTATTTAGCTGGGGGTTTATGAACATGTTCGGTTCCGGAAGATGATGTGTACTTTTACAAGGTACATGGAATCAGCATGTAAAATCAATGCAATAGTCAGATGTGTGCAGTACAAAGCTTGAGGGATTGGAAGTGGGATCATAGCGTGTGCTTAAAATGGTTAAGCTTAATAGCCAACGATGCCCTGTCTCTACGGCTTCGTTAAACAAGCTAAGCGTAAAAATAAAGGTTTTCACGGTTTTGGCTCATATGTAAGCAACACAAAAGCACAACATGTAGCATGCAACCGAGTGGGTTTCTAGGGAAAATACGCTTGCTGTGATAAGCTTACGGTACGTCCGCTTCCCCTACGACGTACGTTTTGAGACACAAGGTAGTTTCTCTACTAGAAGAGGTATACGAACACTGGGATCCATACAGCTGCGCTAAAAATAATATCTAGTAAATCAGACAAGCCTGTACTGTGTACAGGGAAAAGGGAGGATAAAAGAACTTGATAATACAGATCTAAATAAGTCAAGCAAGTCTTTATCACGAGGAAAATAAAACCAACAATCGTTTTATGAAGCATTATCTCAATGTCCTCGGTTCTCAACACTTTTATCTAATAGCGTCTATTATAGTAGTAGATTGTAGCGGTTCATTTGTGGAGATAGGAATTCATGGATCAAAATATATAAAAAAAAAAAAAACGAAGAATAACTGTAAGAGCCGCGACACGCGCTAAACTGGGCAACCTGTAGTGAGGGTCCTCTTCCCCCCTGTTCTGCAGACTTTGCGCACAGTCAGGTAGACAGATTGCTTTCGGTAAGACGTCGATATAAATAAACCCTTTGATCCAAAAATTGGGTATAAATGGACAGCTAAAAGTACGACAATGAACGGTATTATAAATCATAGCCATATATAAATATTATTTGTTGTGCCAGTGAGCAACAACGCAATAGACATACCTTTAAGCCCTAGGTTGATTGCAGGCCTAAAGTTTGGTAACTTGTCTAGATTTAACCAACGTGGTACTTAAACATTAGCAACAACGTAGCACACGTTGGTATTATATTAACCTAACAAAATTCGTTGCGGGAAACGATGTGCTGCGGTAGATTTTCGATAATGTCATTCTGAAACAGAAACCTATTTCTAAATATAAGACATTTTTATCGTTAGTCAGTGTCCTGAATAGGTCAAATTAACACGTGTGCACAAAAGTAACGCGATGCTTTTGAATGAAAGTGCTTAGATTAAAAAAACAGACATATTTCTACTGTAACATATTCACTTGCCTTTAAGTTTACTTACTGATTTACTCTCAGTAAATTGCCTACACATTAAACATTTTTCCCAAATACGAAACGTATTCACGTAGGCCTTACTGTATAATTGAGAACTTACTACTTAGAAGTTACTCCAGACGACTCAACATACGCAAAAAAGGCTTTGCCTTGATGGTGACTAGGCCCTTTAAAAATATGCTATGTGTTTTATCGCAAAGCGAATATCGAGGTATGTGACGGCTGTGGTCGCTTTAATTTTTATTTTGGGTTTTAAAAAACTTCGGGTATCATTGTTTAGACGGAAAATACTATTGTGATTGCGTCCATGATTTAGAGATTGCTCGTGTTCCACAGTCATGCTAGTGGTCCTCAGAAATTACCTTGCGCCCATACGATAGTTTTCTTACAACTTTTTGATTAATTATTCAGAAATGAGGAGGAGTGACAAGTGGTATTAGAATAAAGGGCAACTGGAGTGAACGAAGATGCATCCGGTAACAATTAAATTTCCGGGCGCTTTTCGAGGCTTCCAAACTTGCCTAATGACATACATTAGCATCGATTTATGATGGTATAAAACAAAACTTGAGATGATGGATTGGCGTCGTGATGCATCGAGGGTACAGGACATTACAAAAGCAAGAAAACATATACATATACTGATTAGTGTATCATTTCTTTTTATAGGACTGCAAGATATACCACGGATTCCATTTCCTCCACCGGGTAACGCAGCCCAGTCTATACAGGTACATTAGTGTCCATAAGCCGTCTTGTAGAATAAGTGTTAGGCATACTTTACATTGACGCAAATTCTAAAAGTAGCCGATTCTATGTTAACGTTATCATATTAAACAGAACTGATTGATAAAATGGTTCTTTAAGGCTTCCACTAATGACGGTATGTTACAACCATAGAGGTTAAGCGTTTGTATTTGTCTGCCAAGCTCTTCTGTATTTAAAAGCAGAGTAGTCGTTTAATTAGCGTATATATTTATGTATGAACTCGTAAATAAAACGCATTGTATTTTATACGTGAGAAAACCGCATATTATTCGCTTGATTAATAGGCCACCTATCCAGTGATTCGTTTGCTGGTCTTTTAAGTGACGCTTCATTTTCTTGTATATTTCACGCAACGTTGGCGTTTGCTTTCAAACGACGTAATTTCTTACTACCTTCTTTATTACGCTACAGGTACAGCCAGGGTAAGTACCATCGTATTTAACTTAATATTTCTATTTTAGGCGCGGCGAGCTTCTCTCGTCACTTCGACGAAGATCAGCTTTCCAGTTGTAATATAATTGCATTACAGGTATCTCCGGATATTGCCCGTACGTCAACTACCCGTGTTGTCCTTGACCAGGGAGCTATTAGAGGAAAACTGGTCGAAACTCCGTCGCAACGGGGCCTGATTGCCTTTCTCGGAATACCTTACGCAGCCCCGCCGGTCGCCAGTATGAGATTTAAGGTGTGATAAGTCCATTCGTGTACTGCACAAATAGTATCACCATGCAACATGTTGTATTATAAACATCTAATCAGTATCTTGTATAGTAGTACTAACATGTCGAATACGAAAAATTCTTGGTAGTTGCAGTATATCAGGTTTGTAGGATTTATAATATAATTTGCTATATATTTGAGTAATTGAATATTTTAATGCTTCTTACCTCGAGTATAAGAAAATTTTTCTATTCGGCTTGGTCATAGCGGACAACCGCAGTTGATCTTATAAGAGAAGCTGTGTAGACACCGCACAAGATGAACTGTAACGTCTGCCACAACGTCCGAGTAAACAGTCTCGCTGTAAGCTATTAAATAGAATAATAGACCATGTATAGACCGTATTGTTTTTTGAAAACGACCAACATTTTCAGTAGCACCACTCTGGTAATAATGCCTAGCTTCACTACATAAGATCCATGCATGCATCAAACATCGAATTATCATCGATCTACTACCGAAACATTCGTTAAGTTAAAAAGGCTACGGGGCCTTTGTCACGGCTAACATACACGTCATCAAAAACTACCCTCGTACTCAACAAATTTTTTTGCTCGTTTTCAGTTGAAAGCAATATTGTTGAGGAAAACGCCGTCGGGAGTCCGCTAGCTGTTTAATTAAGACAGAAAAGCCGAATCTTGAACGAATGCATTCATTCGATTGAAAATGTTGATTTTGATCTATTCCACCACACTTAAGAAGCGCCACATCAAGCGTTGACTTGTTTTTATATACTGTGACGCTGCAGGAAATGTCTTCCGTCCTCATCTGTCACAGTCTCACAGGCGATAGTAACTAACATAAGAAAGGTTTTATGTGTTGACAAAACAATGATAATTATAGTACGACTACTAATGATGATGATGACTACAGGCGAGAGCAGCTCCTGTGTTGGTCACATAGTACTGCTGTGCAAAGCCAATCACGACGCTGCGTATTTCGTCAGCAGGATACCTGGTATATAGGACACGAATGCAATATTTTCGACTATAGCTATTTAAGTCTTAGAGGCTTAGAAGTCTTAATTGGCTTAAGTGTTCCCTAAACTCAGCTCGTTCGTCATACGATGAGGGCATTTCCTAAATAGGGTCAGGCACCATTATGTTTATGATACAGGTAATCGAGTTTCAAACATTTATGAAACGAAACAAATCATGAGTAAACAGTTAGGTACCTTATGCATGCGCATGGCCATATCAAGAGATTGTTGTGTTATTAGGTTGTGTTAATAGGGATGAATACTTTTTTAACGAAGTTCGGAATCATTTCTTCTTAAATCTACTTTCTCCTAATACAAATCAAGTACCGGATAGCACTAAGCTCACCGCTACCAGTCAATTTGATTGGTCCGGGACTTTTTGCAACGTCTCGTCGTGTACCTCACTTAAGCAGTATTTTCATCTACGATTTGAAACGAAATCAAAATTAATGTGTTTCCTATTTTGTGGAAATTGTTTGTCTACTAATTTATTTAACAATAATTTGGCTGAGAGCGATGCTTAATTATGAAAACCAAACAAAAATTTTTTAGGGATTCATCATCGTGATCCTTATCATTATGATATCTAGTAGGAATAGACATGCACAGGGTGTCGGTAGACTAGACTTGATAAATAAATCAATTACAATTTTCTTTATTTGGCGTCCAAATGTTATAGGCAAAATGCTGCTCTGATGAGCGGAATACAATTTCAATGCGAAAAATCATCTAGAAAGTAACTTTTTAACTGGTGGCAGCAGAATTCGAAAAGATAGTGCCATCTAATTTGATTTTATTGGAATCATAAAAAAAGTTTCAGAATACCGTTCGCTTAAGATCCGACTTGAAAGAGGAAAGATGCTACAGTAAAAAGCTAGTACGAAAAACGTATTTCCCAATGGAAAAAAGACCATGTCCTCAGAAGACGTCCACCAGTGCAATGAAGTTGTCTAGAGATGGATGAAACCTCTATGTTTCGACATTTGAAAAAACAACCCATCTATTAGCAATTTGTCTTGGATATCTTATAATGCCATAGTCAAAAGCCCACAATGCGCGCCTTAATATCGATTACCAAATATAGTACTTATTACTATAAACATTTCCTCTATTCTGTTAAGCTAATCCCTGTAACGATCCGCGTAGTCTTTCCGAGCAGCAGTGTATATCCGCGTCCACCACAAAGCTAAACAGAAAGCATGGTCATTAGTGCGACGGTACGTTTACGCTACAGTATACGCTCCGCGTATAGATGACGCTTCTGAGAGTCCTATATCTCTAACTGTTGAATGAATTATGTTCTATACGGATAAGGATGCAAATTTTGCTTGAAGATCGCTTTTTGTCTTGGCACGACGTCGTATCGAGGCCATTGGGTCGGCACCTACACGACTTGGTACTGCAGGGGTGTTAAAACCTGTTCGTCCGCTTTGTTATTCCCCTAACCACACCTTACACGCGAGCGAACCAGTCTCCCCAAAGCTCTTGATCAATCGCCTCCGTCAACAAGAAATGTCGCCCGTGTTCTGTGCGGCAGTTGTCAAGTGTCGTCGTAATCGATTCCCTATTTCAATAGTAGGTTCTTGCAAAAAAAAAGCGGACGCTACACCAAATCATAGCGCTTTACCCTTGTTATCCGCAAGCATTGCTGTGTTGTCCGAGCGATAGTTCATTAGCAATTGCTTGCTCACAAATACACCCTACGTACATTAACAGATTACATATTCACGGTAACCCTTTTTTTTGGCTCTTTTCTTCACAATACCTAGGTCGTCCAGTAAATGAGCAAGAGTAATTGCTATCATGAGAAAATCTGCATTAAATTTTTGCTGCAGGTAACCCATATATAAAGCATATTTCCATATGTATTTAGGGGTTGACATAGAACGTATTATATAGCGACATTTCAAAACGTTTTCATGTCTAACTTAGATTTCGTCATGCATTTACGCATTTTCTTCTGGCAAAAATTTAGTCATCAAAGGAGCACGATATAAAGTAACGCCCGGGTGACGGAAGTGAGGTACCGTCATATCAATAACAGTAACAGACGTCTTTGTTTTCCGCTAGCAAAATGACTGTTTTTCCTTTTAGCTTCTGGTTCCCCATCTCTCCTGATTGACGTCTCGTACCTCCCTCAGACTCTTCCACTGAATCAACAGTCAATTACTTCTCGCGACTTCGCCCATCAAATAAGATGTGTACATTGTGTTTGAGAAAGAGATGACGCCGCAAAACCATTCGTGCTGTTGGCAATTCCGATATTTCCTAGGCCATACGAAAATGCCAAGAAGTGATAGAAAAGCACGACTGTATTATCCGGGAGGTCCTCATTTCCGGTATTAACCTCAATTTCTTCGTCTGCTATGCTGTCCGCAGTAAACAAACGGGTGAATGAGGAACGCATAATCAAGCAGGTACTCCGACGCATTCATGAATATTGGAAGCGACATTTTTGGCGAATAAAAGATATTGCTAAAGCAGTCGAGCAACAACTCAATCGAAGTGCTCTAAAATATTATATTTCTTTTAACTATACGAAACTGTATGCAAAATGTCTTGGCCATAATTGGTGGTCATATCACTAAAATTACGTTGATTAGAAACGCAGTCTGATTTTTTTAAAAATATATTATTAAATACAACAGGATAAACATTTCTATTTAAAAAAAGATTGAGGCGGCAGAAGAAAGTTAAACGGGACCGTTTCGCTTTCGGCTGAAATGACGCATATTTGCACATCTTCGGGGTGAAACCTATTTCATTTGGGAGCATCCTAATAATTTTCGAACACCCTGTTGAAATGGCGGTTCCCCTCTAGAAGAGTTTTAGGGGTTATCTGAGGGTCATCCGAATCACCAGTAGTTCACAAGATTGTCTAACAATCATCTGAAAGTCATTGTAGTAAATTATAATTTTAGGTGAGCAAAAATTGTCAGGAAAAAATTAATAGTTACCTGCCAGACAATAGAAACCGCTACATGAATGCGTAGAATAGCGGATAAGGGCCGTTGCGTCCTTAAGAAATCCTGAAAATTGTCTTTGCTGACAAACAGCACATTACAACCGCAGATTTTGAGAAAGTTTATGTCGGTATTTACCACGCAGTCAAAGATTGCAGTTTCATTGCTTTAACAATGTATGCGACTAGTACAATATAGATACGCGTATCAATTTACTATTTACTTTTTATGAATTAAAATTAGTAAATAGTAACTGAGACCCAGGATGGGGTGTTCTGCATTTTAGCCTCCACTAGCTCATCTTGGCTGGAGTTCGGTATGGGACGCCACTGACTGGCGGGAAGTTTGCCCGCAGCTCGATTATCGTGGCAGACCTATAGGCTCTGAGGACTGCCTGTTCCTTAACGTCTTCACCCCCGGAATTAAGGTAGCAGTCTCAGCGAGTTGTATTCCTGATATATATAATAACACGTGACAATGTACGGGTTATACATTATCACATGGTATTTGTCATTTTATTTTCATATTAAAAGTCTCTGTTATTTACATTTGTTCTGCCGTTAAAGATATCTCGTTATAATTTGGGTATAGCTTTTGAAAGGGAATGGCTAGAACGATATTTGCACTATCGGCGTTCATTAAAAAATAATGTTTTAATTGAATAAGTGCGATTACGCCTGTGTTTCAGAACATTTTTCATAATTTATACTGTGATTAATATGACAGAAAAATTTCTTTTCTTTCGTTTTCTCATTGGACGGTCCGGAGAGCAGAAAGGAAATACTTTTCCCGTAGTAGTCTTTGTGCACGGGGGTAATTTCGACTCGGGAAGTGGTAACTTGTTTGGACCTCAAGCGTTGGTTGACCAAAACTTAGTTGTCGTGACGCTTAACTACCGTCTCGGAATGCTTGGTTTCGCTTCTACTGAGGATGACGCCCTCCCAGGAAATCTTGGACTTCGAGATCAGCTGTTAGCCCTGCAATGGGTTCGTGATAATATCGGTAAGAAACAATATACATCCATGAACAAATAATACTTATCCTGCCTCTCCGACCACCAATAGTAATTATTATCTCGCAATTACGCACACCTTAGCGTAGAATATCTCGATATTCCAGCATATTGTTCAGTTTTTATCTAAATCAGTCCATGAGGTCAATAAGATAATCGTCCCGTACTATTGCACATAGTCTCGTCGTGAATAAATATATAGTTTGTTAATCATTGGGTCATATCATAAATAGAAGTATTACCTATGTACCCAGACATTTGTATTCGTAAAACCAGCTCTGATGCAAACATTCGTCGCGATTTACATGAAATAAAACTTCGAAATGGGGACGCGATATCGGGGCAAAGAATCAGAAAATTCAGAACGTAACCAATGAAATAGACGGAAACTCGAGCGTTCGAGGAAGTAAGCTATGATAATGAATAGGCAGGTACAGGGTTGCTGCTCCCTTTCCCGTTCATGATCTGTGCTTTTCTCTGCGTGGTCAAATTTGGAGCCACACTTGCGCTCATCTTTAGCTGTCAGTGATTCTATTACACCGAATACAGTTACGCATTCGGCCTTTACATTCGGCCATGTTTTGCCTTAACGAACAACATTAGACTCATGTTATCGTTAGTTATGATGATTTCGACTGAACTTAACACTGGTGACGCCGTTTTAAACACAACAACGTTTGCACGAGAATGGTTCTCTAAAACCAAATCACCTGGTTGGATTACTAATGTTTTAATGAATCAGTTACGGAAACCGATCGTTGAATGTTCTATAATTGGTTCCAGTTCAAGACATGTTGAATAGGAAAAAGTGTCGTTACTGATCGTTTTCATAGGTGGCAAGAATTAAATCACCCGAAAATGAAGAAAAAATCTCAAAGCAATTTTCTTGCGATTGCAGTGGAACGGGTGTCATTTGCTAAAAAAAGACGTTTTATAAGAAAGTATGATGTAATCTTAATATTATTAACATATACGTAAATGATTTTATATAGAAAGGTTCAGTGTGAATAGAACACAGAATTCTAGAAATTTCGAAATAGACGAGAGAACTGACCTGGAGCGCACTAGGAAGGTACAAGTGTTATTTCGAATTTTTGTGACTCTATTTAACGATTTTACTTTCAGCTGTATTTGGCGGGCAGCCGGATCGAGTTACTCTTCAGGGTCAGGGTTCAGGAGCCGTCTGTGTCCTTCTCCATGTCGTATCTCCGCAAAGCAAGGGACTTTTTCATCGTGCAATGGTACAATCGGGTGAGTGTCGATTGGGTTTTGCACGAGACAGATCATTATACAAATATAGCACGACCGAGAAATTCATTCTACTATAATCTTTCCGAGTGTCTACAGAGTAAGTAAGAATCAACTGATCCAGCCGATGGCATCAACGAAATTTTGCCAATCGACAGGAAACTCGAAGTTTTCCCCTTTGAAAAATAGAAAAAACATTTTATTGTAGAATATTTCATGCTAAGATGCCTAGCTCAAGTGAGTTTCACATTATATACATATATGTATATATAAAACATTAGCTTTATACATTACGACAAGGTAATTCGTGCTCAAGCTTAAAGGCAGTGTAACAACTGTAATCAACATTACATTGTTTCTTGTTTAGTTTCTATGCATCGCCTGGCAGCAAATATTTAAACGTACCTCCTACTATGCTAAGTGTGAAAAAGATGTAGCTGCTTTCTATATTTTTCGTGAAAACGTATTAAGGTAAGGAAATGGTAATAATAAGAGATAATTAATGCATGTAAAACGAATGCCCTTAGAAACAAGTACCACCTGGGTATGTCAAAGCTATATACGTAACTTTATCCTGCAACGTAATTATCTCTCGATATATTTAGCAGCCTTGTGGATGGATGACCTAACAGAAATATTAGACGGGAAGGAAATACAAACTTGCGCTTTGTGTGCAACGGAGTAGCCAGAACGGACTCGGTCGTATGGAGTGCTGAGTGCTCTCTGCCCTACCTATACTCATTGCTTGAGGAAAACCTCTACCCCTGTTTCCGCTGTGCTACAACTCAAAGGCTAGCGATGCTTACCAGATATTTACATATGTCGCCTTATTTATGTTACGATGTCAGTCATTAAACTGCTAGCCTATGTAACCTCTATCAGAAATCCACACGTATCTACTCCCATTATATCATGGAAAAACACTAAAACGTCTCTTTTTGTACTAAATTATATGCAGATCATTAGAGGAACATAGGTATTCGCGCCGAAAATCTGACTAAGGTTACTTTGTTCATAATAGCTATTGTGCTTGACTCGTATTCGGTGGCCACTAAGCGATAATATAGCTTGCCGGCACGCTAAAATCTATCTGACTGCAAGAACGAATACTTATACTGCAAGACAATACTAAAATTTCCTTTCCATCCAATTTCCGTAGACCCACGTGAGTAAATAATCATCCTTTTACCATATCTCTTACAGTGTATCCACACCAAACAGGTAAACGTCTCCTATTAAATCACGTTGGCCCAGTAACTAATAGCCAGCAATAATTTAACAGGGGCCCAAGTTATTCGTAATTGAAGTTTAATTTACTTTACTTTACTTTACTCTCGTGGCTTAAGTACATCAATTTGATCGTATATGAATAACGGCCAATGCAGCTTCTGTTTCCCCTTTGGCTTCCTGGGTCGTTTCTTTCTATTGCATTTTGGTTAATAATATGACAGTTTTATAATTTGTTTTTGTTGTTGGCCCAGTCGATCAACCTCTGACCTTCGTGTGATCGAACCATACGCCTTGCGCACAAGTTTGTTTTCAACAGTATCTAGATTAGGAACAAGCTATGGAACATATTTTATTTCTCAAAATAAACCCCTTTACCGGCACTCTCCTTGCTAGCGCTCAGCATTATTAAATCGTATCAGTAACGAACGTATTTCAATATCACCTTATTGGCTATAAAAAACGTTTCGGTGTGTGTATATATGTATTTGTGTCGTCTTGTTTGGTGTTATCGCTTGTCGAAAATCTGGCAAATCAAATGACACAGTTATTTTTTTATCGCTCTCAAGTTATTACTCGAAACAGATATTTCTGGATGACGAACCAAAAGACAGTGCGTTCACAGGATGTTAGCGGACGGGCAGCACAGCGGCGGAAATTCCCGCTGCTCAGACACCCCCGGTTACAGAAATTGTCTGAACAATGCTAGCAATTAGCATCGGCATGTTCATATCACGTTGGTTTGCCGTAGCCATTTCCGGATATGGTCGATGGTCTCCTGTATGCGTTTGACCATCCGTGAATTCGTGCTTACGGAAGCTGTTACTCCGTAATGATAGCCTTGACTACCTCCGTCTACAACAAAAAGCGAGAAGTCGATTTTGACGAATCCGCCTTTCGTGTTCTCTCATCAAGCTAATCAAGGTTCTCTTTCTAGTACAAGATAAGGTAAACGAGACGCCAACGACAAAGTATTATTCTGGAAAGCAAGGCCCTTTGAATAATGGAAGCTCTTGCAACGTTCAATATAGCGACGACTACGTTCACGATAGCATTTCAACGCTTTCTAGCTTACCTCGTTAGCAGATGTACGGCATCGGCACTTAGACAGCGGGTAAAACGTGTGAAAACACTAACGTTCGATACGTCAAAACAAAGCCCCATTTCTAACATAGACTCCATTTCTGATAAGTTATTTGAATAGAAGAAAAATTGATTTACACGTTACCGCCTACAAGCCGCCGTGCCGTCTGGAAAAACGGCATTTCTTTTCAAGGCTGGTAACGGCGAAACCTTTCAAAGGCACTTGTTTGCGTCGGTTTCGGCTATTTTTTTAGCTTAGTTATGTCCTAACGAGAAAAGCACTGGTCATCAAAATGCTTTTTCATCGAGACAGAGCGAAAAATATTACTAGGAAAAATATGTTCTATACTAGAAAAATACGAAAACCTTTTCTATGGACTGGAATGACTCCCCCTTCAAATTTTTATATCGTTTTCAAAGTTTAAGTCAACTTCACTAATCAAAAAAGAATTACGGGTCAACGTTAACGTGCCGACTAAATCACATTGCGAGCGCGGGCTATTTTGGACGAGCGTTTTTTGACACCTTCTTCAGGGTAATAGGATAACTAAGACACCATATTGAAATATCTGAATCAGGGTAGCTGAACCTTTGAAGTTGGATAAGCTACTCACGGGCACAATGTTGTCAGATTGTGTAACAGAATAAGGCAGCATACGGAGTTTACAAAATAGAGGGGTCAGAGAACGACGTAGGTAAAATTAAAATGGAAAAGTAAAGCTAACAAGATAATTACAAGCGTAGTCAGATTATAGATTGAACTATAAAAAGCGATAGGGTATAGTATTGTGCGATAACTATTGCGCAAATGAGATCCGCTCAGTAGTTAACACACTGCTTTTGTATGACCGCTCGCCAGCTTTACTAGCGTCACCCTTCTTAGAATGCTTATTTACCATTCTCGGATACGTGTGGTTTATACAAATTTAATGATTCCTTTAGATAGATTCTATAATATTTAGATGTACCGCCGGCTCTAAATTGCAATCGATTTCGACAACTTTTTCTCCTAAAGTTGTTCTTATATACGTTTTTATGTTTGTGCCATTCAAATAACATACTGATAGGTATGCTCTCATCGTACAGCACAATAAGTACAAACAGTCCATCTGTGTATTACATTTATGACCAGACTCGCCCAATATTGATGCATACTTACGAAGACTGAAGGATTCGCAGAGTTTTTTAAAATTCATTTTACATCTAACCCTTTATTCATTATTTGACCTTTAGCTTTTTCAAATTCGCATATAAGAATTTTTGGTTTATCTAGAAAACTTTTGAAAATTGAATGGATATTATTATCCGGGAACATTCAATCGGAAAGTTTCTCACTGGAAACATAGCCGTGGTAAAAGAGGCAACATTTTTTTTTAAATAAAGCCCACGTTCATATTGACTTGTCGGACAAATTGTGTGTTCCTGACGGTACACTAACATAGTTTTTACTTTCTAACGTCCTTGCCGCGATTTCTAAAAATTTAAGAGGACAATGAATTTTTGTCTAAAATTCAAATATCTTGGAACTCTGGTTTGGCCAGTCAAGTTCAATAATATTTCGATCCCTACGCCAGATACTGCCATAAACAACTGGCTTAAACGGCTGACTCTTTTCCCTAATGCGAAACAAAGTATATTTTTGATCTCTTATCGTATAAGAATATTAATCGTACCACATTGGAAGGTACAAAAGGACACCTAATAGCGTAAATAGCCACGCACATATATGGAAATCGGGATTCGGCTACTTAATATAACACTTATAAAATTCAACAGCAGACTCAAACAGGTTTCAACGTACTATCGTCAACTTGTCAGCTTGGATAATCATTTCAATAATAATTGATAATTGATTTTTTAGCATTTTTGTTTTAGATTTCTAATAGTTATTGTTTGACACAGATATTTATAAAGTGCTATTTTTTTTTGAAATACTCGATCTAAAACGGTCCGTTATCGGAACGTATATACAAACTATAATTATTATGTTCATTACGTCAAATGGGCCATTAGACTTCTAATAGACGGCGTTCTCTATGCAGATTCCATTTTAGCCAGGAACAACATCCGTGGATGTCATAAGAGACAATTACTGATCATTTCACGTTAAACTTTTTTATTTAAACATTCATATAAATACGGCGATAGAAAAGAGATGAGATGCCTTCGATGCACTCCTGCGTGAGACAACATCAATAGCAGTGCATTATCTATCCTTACAGGTACTCCCCTTTCGGAGGGGTCGCTTCACATGTCTGTCCGAGAAGCAACCCAATCGGCGGCCCTAAGCCTGGGATGTTCGTCAGTGATTTCGAGCCATGACGTGCGGGACTGTTTATACAATATACCAGTTCACGAATTGCTACGTACACAGCAGGAAGGCAAGGTAGACAGAAACATTAAGATTTTTCCAAATAGGTCCTTAAAGAAACTTATAGCTGCTTAAAATGGCATGGTACTTTAAAAAAGTTGTTTTTTTTTTGTAACAAATTGACATCAAGCATTTCTGAATGGGCACATATTTAATAAAAGAATAAAGCCATTGTCAGTCATTAATTACGTAGTTCTTTCGGAAAACTGTTCTACACGCAGCTATGTGAACCCGTGATTTTCCGTTATATATATATAACGGTATATTTGCCATCTGCCGCAAAGAGCTCAATGGCTATATTTTCCGCGTCAATCAAATTATGCCGAGCATAAATTATTAGATTATTACTAATTAAAAGAAATTATGGTAAATTATTTTACAATTTTAAATCTAGGGCAAAGAAATGCATTTTCAAGCTAAGCCTTGTTCATTGTACATTGTACCTAATATTTACAGTGAGACTACTGTGTTGACCTTAACAAACATTCTCAACTAACTGACATCAGCGAAGGCTACGCGTCCTGCCGACGCACAAGTTTAGCCAGCAAACTAACGCGGGGTACGCTTGTTTAATAGAGCATACGACAATGGCCGCGAAAAAGTAGTTGCCAAGAAGACTTTCTTATGTATTAGTAAATATATTATATAGGATGAGGACACAAGAGGATTACTGACTTATGATGTTTTGTAAAACGTACCGCATTCTCCGAATTTTTAAAAACCCATTATTTTTCATATTTTTTAATTGCGCTCAGCATTTGACTGTGCATACATAGTATTAAACTTTTCTTTGTCTCCATCGGGTACATGTAGGCGGATTCGTGTGCGTTCTACTGAGTGGAAAATGCGTTACCTGATGTTATTGAGAAATACTGATTTCGTGCCCCTCTACTCCACAGATACTTGGCGACTACCCGTTGAAATTTACTCCGCGCATCGACCCCGACTCTCATGAGCCCATGCTCCCCACCAGCCCAACAGCGCTTCTTGCTTCGGGAAACTTTGCCAAGGTGCCCATAATAATTGGGTACGTTCCTTATATACTTGGACTATGTCTCACGTCTACGGGGAATCATCATAGAAATCCAATTGATGGAAAAGCAATGAACCCTAACGTTTTTCTACAAGCCGTTCTCAATAGCACACACGTTTCTGAAACACGCAGTGCTGCAAACGACGCTTGCCGTCGCAAATAAACCGAAGTGTCCGCTCCGACAGTTTAGTCAACTCAGAGATCATATATGCAGGCATCGAAGCAATTGATACGGGCATGCCTGGAAAAAATAAAGAAGAAATTTTGCATACAAAAATGTCTTCAAGAAACTATCTATCGTTAAACTAGGGAACCGTAATGCATTAAACCGTTGACAGTCATGATCTTTGAGGGTTTAGAAAGAAAGACGGAAATTATGATTGTTATGTAGTTGTATATAAAGTGATCATACCATCTGTTCTGCTATCTATGTGTTTATAGTTATAACAGAGATGAGACAGCGGTATTGTATCCTGAACTTCTAGCTTTACTTCGAAGTGAACTCGGGGATGACCAAGATTATGTAAGAAATATCCTCCTGCCAAAATTTTTCCGGACAGCGCTCAATATTCGCGATTTCTCTAAGGAGACACTCGATGACGTTTATGAAAAGTGAGTATGATGAAAACACTTTGTTATACTGTCATAGAAGTGAAGCGATGCTGGTTAATCTCTTAAACGAGTTGATAGTAGTTGCAAGAAAAGCGTCCATTGACTAGCATTTGATATATAAAACAAATATTACCGCTACAAATACATAGATGTATGTAGTTACGCACAGGTCGCCGCACTAATGTGAAATAATTCATACTTCCAACGACATAAACCGAAAAAAGCCTGTGTTAGCGTGTAACAAAGAACAGCTCATAGTGAATCAGCTACTAGTAGTAACAACTGTTGCGTGACTCCATTTTTACATTGTTAATAAATACAAACACGATTTCATGTAACTGAAATATATTTTCGTAAATATTTGTTTCAGCTACTTTTCTGGGACCAACTATAAGGATCATGATGGTATCATTCAGGCGTTTGTGAATGTAAGCTTTGTGCCTGCAGATGGCCATTTAGGTATTGAATCTAACTTAAAATAACAATAAAAATCGCTTTTCTATTTGTTTATTAATGCTATGATTTGTTTTGGGAAGGGAAATCTTTAGCAGTGAGGAAATCGACTTAAGTTTAGGTTTCGGTCAAACAACGAGGGAATGACTACAGGTCTGTCAATCGGCACGCCATCAGGCACCCTCTAGACACACTGAGGATATTTGCTTAAAATCAAATTCCACTAATTTTGCTAGTTTCGCTCTCCCGAGGTTTCGGTTTCTTGTCAGCCGTCGTAAAATCATAGTACTACACCTACAGTCTACCAAAATCGATATTATTCGGACTATGGATATTACCAGTGGTAAGGGAAATCGATGAGGTAATGCCTCCATCAATAGGAAATACTGCTCTGATTTATCTTATATTAAGGCTTCAAGCTATCTAATCTAATAAGCGCGATGTCGATCTGAAACTTATTGGCATAAAAAATTAATATATATCTGAATGGTTCCCTTTGTTCCGTCTACAGCGTCCCTTGCAGCATTTGGTGACGCAGGTTTTATAGATAAACTACGGTAGCGCACCTCGCGAATGTGCAAGTTCTACTGTAGTTCTGGGTGAAAAGAACATCTCATGAGACCCCTGGCATGAAGCATGTTTAAACGAATAACGTATTTCCCGTAAAGAAAACATTTTCCACACAACAATGTTTTCTCTATCGGATGTATGCCCTTTCGAAGTAACCACTGCCGACTGTAGGTACTTGGTTTTGTACAGCTTTGTACAGCGGGGTCACGATACGCCAGATGAAGAACGGCGCAAAGTTCAGCGCTGAAATAGAGGGGTAACAACGTCATAGCTACAGTTACTGGTCCCGATCGTTTTAAGCACCCAAGTTGTTTACTAGTTACCGTGAAGCCTGAGATGCTGCGTGGGAATAGCCACATAAATTCTCTCCTGGTCTCATTATTGACCTATAGCTGTTTGCCAAGCAAATCTTCCAGAACAGTGGGATTAAGGGACAAGCCTTAGGAATGTGTTGTATTCATCTAAGAGGCCCTATTATACGGTCCACTGGCGTGATTGTCTGTAACGCTAATCCCGTAATGATTAGCGAGATATCTAGTGTCTAAATTTCTAAAGTGCCCTAGTGCTAGGCCTGCGTTGGTTCTGGATACCGAGAACTCGACATATTGAGATAAGAGAACTCCGCACCGAAAATTAGGTTCCCCCCTTAGAACTTTGTCATACAAATAACGATGACTCATATATGACAACGGGCAAGATATAGTTACATAATGGGAAAATACAAAATAAAACTTCGGCTAAAGGCATGTGATACAGAAATATGAACCATATTTGGCAGAATTATACAGTTTCCAAGCATTTTCATATTTGCAGATGTCAACATCAGCGCTCTTTGTTGTTCCCATCCTTGAGACGGTTGTGCTGCTGGCCAGATCATCTCCTTCGACATTTGTCTACTCCTTTTCGTATCGTGGCGACATCAGTATGCTTGACTCAAAGCTAGGCCAAAGGTGGACAAACACGTTTTCTTTACTAAGTTGTTTTGCTACATAAATATGTAGTATGTAGTGGTATAGCACATAGGAATAACTTTGTCATGTCGTTATGCTGATTCGTAAAGTACTCGCTAAGGATAACATGTTAATTTTAGGCCGAAATATATCATTGAAACTATCTACTGGATAGCACCACACAGACTCGCACATTTGCGTCAGATTCCAGTAATCATTATCGGGTACAGTCCAGACCGCATTAGTGATGAAGAATATTTATGAAAAAAAAAAAAGAACCAGTATAAAAAAACATCTATTGCGTTTCTTCTTTGGCTGTTTCAGCATAGCAAATGCGGAGTCTCCATTCTTTTTGGGCACAACACAAACTAAATATCTTCTCCTTTCTACTGACAATCTCATAAAAATTCCATCTTACTATCTATCTATACTGCAATGGCCGGGCTCTCAACATGCATTCACGTATATATCAAGTTCAGACGGTCGTTGAGGGCAACGGCAATGAAGGGAAAAGAGGTGAAACAACAGTTGCGAATGAAATAATAAATTTTTACAAAACTGATTAGTATATTACTTATACTATAATATTTTTTTACAAATTTTGCAGTGCTTCCCGTCGAGTAAATTTAGGGCCCGCTCATGGAGACGAGCTCCTCTATCTGTTCCAGGTACGTCTGAGTCCTTATAGTAGCTCTTATAGCAAAGAAACTTCTGTTCCCCAATGGCGAAGCAGTTTTTTTTCTATCTGATTCGGATTCTTCAAATAATTTATTTCAGTACATTTTTCTGAAACGTGTTTTCCTATCCATTTATAATCTTGCTGTTTTCCTCGAGGCGCTGACGTTTAGCTCTTCCAAATACGTATGTTTACGTTAACTCGTATAGTGTAGCACTCGCGTTTGTTGGCTTCACTTAAATATTCCTCATTAGGTGATCGGAAGCGGTCTTCGGCCCTCGACGAACCTTGTTGATGAAATGGTTTCACGACGGATGATAAAAATGTGGAGTGATTTTTCCCGAGTGGGGTGAGTTGAGAATAAATTTTTAAGCAAAATTAAAAATTGGCAGTTGCTGATTCCTGTTGTAATGAATGTATTTCTAGGCTCACCACATTAACCAGTCTCTGTGAAATGATCCAAAGTGAATACTGCTTCACGCTGTTACTAGATCGACTATATAGTTAAGAAAACAACATTATCGTGTTTCTATAATTATATGTCGGCAATGACATAGGAAATAAGTGAGTTAACAATAAAAGTGAGCATATTAAGTTTGCGGAGCTATATAAAGATGGAACGGATGATGTAGCTCTAACACGATTCAGCCGAAGTATATGCATACTGCGTATTTACATGTATAATTTTTTATGCTACACTTTTTTTGCTTTGGATTACTATGTGGTGACGATATTACCAAGTTTCATAATGCTGTACACAAGCTGAGCTAAGTTCCAATGCAAACTAACGCTTGTCTTAAATATGTTCACGCACCTTTCAACGCTGTGACAATGGCAGTGGCTGCATGCCATCTTCGCGTATAGTGATTACAGCGCAACAACAATAACAATCGGATAGGACTGCCGTTATTAGCAATGACAATGATAATAAACGACACAAAAACAATGACGCTGTCATAATTTTCTAGTCTGTGATTTTCCTGTTACATTGGGGAGCTGCAGGAGATCCTGCATGGGCAATGGAATACTTTAGTCAAGAGATGCATCTTACTGTGCTAGAAATAATCGTCTTCATCGGGATGCGCGTTGAGCGAGACCACCTGTGTTTAACTCTCCTTATGTCTGTAATTTCGGTTATAGATGATTTTAGCAGTGTCTAGGAGATTTTTTTCAAGATCAAACAAAAGTCTTCCTCAATTTGAACTTAAACGAAGCGTGACCTTACTTAGTTCCAAGACCTATACTGTTTTTACATATTTAGCTGAGAGGAAATGCTGCGAGACGAAGAAATAAAAAGAATCATGCGTACTATTTGTACGGATCACCAACAGTGTGCGATCTAATGCAATATCTGTGCCCTCTGACAGGTAGGGTTATGGCGTCGATGCATATTTCAATTTCAGTAGTTGTTACTCTACCAAACACTGTTAATGCCCTGAAGCTTGTCTGTGTGCAGTGCAAGTATTTCAAATGGTGTCACAAATAGTCTCAGACGAGCGTACCTTTGCTGTTCATCAGAGTATGTAGGATTGTTCCTAGTACTTTACCACTGCCCATAAGGAAGTCGCAATCCTAAAATTAAAACAGCAGTACTTACTTTCGTAATGCTTGATTATCCTGATCTAACTGCCGACCTACCGGCCTCGCTGCTAATTAAATTACCTAATTAAATTAATTATTCGCACGTACACGGAAAATTATCGGGTAAATTCCCGATAACTAAAATTTTATTGTATATATTCATACTGTATACAAGATTGGCGCAGCAAAGTAAATGTATACGCCTGAAACATTTTCTTAATATTATCAACCACAATAGCTATCTAACCGTACGATAGTACATATGTAAACATGGAAGACGATAACGATTCAGCTCTAAAAGTATACATTGATTGAAAAGCCCAGGCCCCGGCTACTCACTCAAGTGGTAATAATAATAATAATGTTGCCTATAACACCTAACCTTGTCGCTTAACAAGTGCGCTCACAAGAATCTGCCATTATAAACTAATAGCCCCTTGCACTCTTAGCGTCAGATTCGTCAGAGAAAAGAAAGCTAGAACAGAAACGACCTGTAATAAACTATCTGCCTGTATAGCAATGAAAATAACCTACATTCGCGGAATATACAGTGTTTTCTTCAAATTGTGTTCTATCCATATGGTTTACTTTCATGCGATGCTAAGTCGACATCTTATCTCAGTTTGAAACCCCCTTAAAAGTACATACGAATAGAAAATTAAATAAATTCACACCAATCAAGAGAAAGTGCAGTCTGCGAGCAAATATTCTGTAAACATCTGTATAAAGGGCCACTGCAGTGACAATGAAAAGACGCCTCATTTTTCCCCATAGTAACATCTAAACATGATAAAATAGATGCGGCAAACGCTATATATAAATCTCTATTAGAAGTTCATAGAAATCATAAGGACAGCATACGCCCAGTATGCCTATCTTAAAATAAGCATATCGAGGACTTCCATGTAGCGAGGACTTCGAAGCTACGAGCGTCCCAGCGCATGATCACATCCCTTCGCACTGCTACCGCATATACACACCAAAATTCAATTAAAGGCCTAATAAGGTCAACTAAAGATAGAATAAGTATCCCTTGTTTTCACTGACGTGTGAAAAATCTGGCTGACTATTTATTAGGTGACATAAAGTCTGATATATAGATGAAATATAGTGAATTTTACGATCATCGTTTATCACCAACGTATAAAACCTCGAAAACTTAGTGACTAGAAGGTAACAGAATTTCAAGCATGTAGCGGTACCAACTAGACATACGTACGTATGTCAGGTCCCGTTGCAATTCATGCAGCTCTAATTTATCAGATCATAATTATATCGGGTCAACGAATAAGGCTGGAATGCTTGTTGTAATTGTCAGTGGTGTAGCCTAAAGCTAGGTCGATTTTTGCGGGGGTAGCTCTTCCTAGTTGGATCGCGTTCCACCGTTATACATCAGCTTATACAACGGAACCGAATTCAATCGGTGATTAAATTATATTTTGATTTTACAATCGAAATGCTTCATTCTATTTTGGAAGTGACCGCATTCACTTAAGCGGATAACGTGCAGAAAAATTTTCGATCGGAAGACTAACAGAAACGATTGATACGCCTTAGCACTACTGCAGATGTAGTACTAGTCGGCCTTTAAAGCAGAAAACCGAGATTAGTCGATCTTGTACTTTGTGCTTGCAGTGCAGCAATAAACTTTAATTTCTGTCCAAGCAATGAATATACGCACCATACATAAAAGTAGAAGAAGAACTGTACCATATAGATTTTTTCCCCCATGAGGCTATCCATATTCCCAGCTAGTTGGTCCATCAATGAGAGCTCCATCTCAGCCTAAAGATAGTTAAAACTCATAAAAGTAAGATAAACGAGTATCCCCGGTTGCCGAACTCATAAAAATCTACGTCTTCATCACAAAGCTATTCTCGGTGCGGCGAGCAGACCGCGTGTCAGGTCAGAACCCACGTATCATCGTGTAGAGCATCTTTTCGCATATATGATGCAAGCAGACGTACTGCCCAGTTTTTAATTCAGTTGCAGTTACACGATGGCTTTAATTATATTCATGTATATTTTGGGAACATTGTAAAAGACGACATCATGCCGCTACACTAAACTTTCGCAACATAATCGATCAAACATATCATATTTATATTTTCATTAGCATAACACCATTAAGAAGATATCATCGTTGTCAACCCTGCCAGACGATAAGCCGGAAGGGGAATATAGAAGAAAAAAATTGGTTACGTAAACCAATTTCATTTAATAACAGTCAGCTTAATTCCTCTTTCAATCAGTAACGTGTTCATCGTTTGTTTTCGCTCTTGTCTCAGAGTTTTCCATATTCACCTATTTGCCCTTTTTTTCCTTTCTTCCGTTTTCTCTCCACTTTTTTTCAATGTGCAAACGCGTCAATGGCAAGCGTTTGTGCAGCCTCCGTCGAATTCGTCTCGGTGACCCTTTCAAGGTTTCTTTAACGGTTACCTGGAAGGATCCATCGGCTGCTTCGTCGGTTCGTCCCCGGCGTCGTATATGTTCAACCCGATCCCCTTTTGCTGCGCCTTCAATAACCCCACTGTTGCCGGCCTTGCCGCTTCAGCCGTTGTATTTTATTACCAGTTGTGCATTTCTCGTCCAGTAGCCACCGTTCTGCATTCACTTCTCTGTCCTTCCGTACCTATGGCTTCTACTACTATTATAATACGCTTGTTACCGTTAAGACTCGTTTCTCTTGCAGACACAAATATTGCCAGATAGCGTAACACTCTGAGGGCTCAGATAGGTCTGCGTAATTCATCCATTTCAACCTCCATGAAGGCCTATCCGATGTCGATGGAATATGTACGAAACATATAAAAGCGCCACATGTATGTCGGCAAACAGTATTATACCATACACAGGGGATGATTAATTCGAAGTACTTCAAAGTTTCCGTGTAATTTTGAAAACACTGGACGTTTGCATAAGTCTGCAGTACATCGAGTAAATATGCTAGCTTTTATGAGTTGCTTTCGATTCTTGTTAAATACATATACAACTGATAAACACATCGATGAATAAGCCAAAATCAGTACGATTATTTTTAGCCTATCCTATTTAAAAACGAACTCTCTATTTTCCTTTGGCCTAGAATACATAGGCTATTTTCACTTATAACATGATGTCCATTGAACAAGAGCTAAACACTTTCACTGGATTACTAGAAAAAATGCGGAAAGAGCGTTTGCTATTCTAGAAACGCATTCACAATAAGCCCTTTCCATAACGATTGCTTTATGAGCTTAACAATAAAGTTATAGACAACTTATGTTCTAATGTATTATTATCTTTCACATTGTATTTTTCATTGGATTTTCATTGTTGTTCACAAATCAGCTTTTTTTTTTAAATTTTATCCTATCAATTTGTCATGTTCAGTTAAGCATGCCAAGCTGAGCTGAGCTATGTAAACCAAAAGATGCTTTTTTACGTCTGGTACTTTAGGGGTTTTGTCTTGATAGCTGACTCTGATTAGGAACCATTCGAACATGGACCACCAAATGTTTTTAAATTAACACACTAGATACTGCGTTCTCATAAGAACAGCACGCCACAGATCAAAAATTATTTAACGTGCATGTTAAGGACTACTGTCGCTAAAAGAAAGATGTACGTATTTTCTTTGCCCAATGTTTTCCGACCCTGTAACCCTAAGGTAGCAAAAGTAAAAAAATCTGGGTTTAGGCCGTATCGCCCTACCGTCGACAAGTCACATAGGCCAACAGTGATTCACGAGCCACTAACAATTTTGTGCAAATAAGTCTATAAATTGCAGGAAAAATTCTTGTTTTTGACCCTGGTTAGGGAAAGCGGTGTTTTAATTACTTTATCCATGCTAGCAAAGCACCATGATTCGTCTATTTTAGGTATTCGTGGTAATATAGTGGCCATAAGTTACCTACATTGTGCACAAGTTAGCGTACGTAAGGTAGGTAAGGATACAGTGCTGGAGTATTGTGGATCCTTATAAACATTTAAGAGGCAATGTCTGGTTTTAAATTGCTCTCCATAAAAATACTAGCATCTCCACAGGTTGTATTTTGTACGAAAAGTACAGGCACATCGAAGTAATGCGTGCGCCACTTTCCAAAGCCATTTCAATCCTACGCTGCGTTACAAAGCCGCAGACTGAAGCCCGCGCAGCCGAGTCTTAGTTAATCCTCATTATGGTATTATACAATTGCCCATAATTAAATATGGTTCATAATAAAGATCGCCTCAAACGTAGGGTGTTTGTCAGCAATACCGGTTAGTCTTGACAATATAGCCGAAGTCTTCATAGTTTGTTTCAAAAACCAACGTAGACATGGGCAGAGCAGGCACGAGTACACGATTAATTAATATAGAAAGCGGCCCCAAAGTCCTTACAGGACTTTGTCCCTCTTTTCGGTGTTTGCAATACACCTTGGAACACCGTTCGGTTTTCGTAAAAATTACGTATAGAATTGAGAAATCCATTACTCTACACAGTGCAATGCAGAGCACTCCTTTATTGATGGGGTAACACTGAGGCGAGCGATCAAAGGATATGAAAAGGGTAGTATAGCTAAACTGAGGCCAGGCAAATGAAATCTGTCGTGGATACCGATCCAAGGACTTCAATGCGACCTCGTGCTCCTCATATAGTCCATCGAAGGGGAAACGCATTTAAGGCAAAACTTGCATCTCCATCCTCAAAGGATACAATGGATTCAACAATTACAGACTCAAGACCGTCCTGTGTGTGTAGTTTGTGAAGCGGACGCGTTATTAGGCTTTTTTCGTTCGAATATGACGATGGAATGGCCGTGGTGACACATGGATGGCAAGAGCCATGGTGGAATGTTGCGAACTTTCCTACGGATCGTAGTTATCGGTCCTTTGGTATCGAAAAACTAGGGCAATTTGTCGCACCGAGAGGAAATAAGCAATCTCCTTGGAATTACGTTTCCAAATCGGCTAGCCTAGGAGCGAAATAATAACACAGAACGACCACTCCGCGCCAATAATCTAATTCCTTTCCATTTTTTGTGTCGAAAGTAATTCAGGATCTGAGAGACTCCTTATCCTGGATAAAAACATAGTCGTATCCCCCAATAAAAATCCTAGTAATAGTAAAGACGATAATCTGCAATATTGCGTTCATGAAGTACTCGATAAAATCGGTTGCAAAATATGCAAAGCCATGTTGCGTGAAACAAATGAGGTCATGCCAACGGTCCCTAGGGGGAGGTTTGGCTGACGTTGCTTTCCGTGCGTAGTGAAGATCAAAGGTGCGGGTTGAGATGAAACGAGAATAAGGACACGCACAAACATTCGCTTTTGCCTTGTATTCCGAGGCATTGAATTTCTGACGCAGACTTTTGGACCAATAAAGTGTTCATGTGTATGCGCTAACTAGGTTGCATTGTTTTTGAGGCAGGTTTGTTGTTTAATGTTTCGATCAAATAAGCAACCTACGACATCCTGTTTTATACAATGGCCTATATAATTTTATCTCACCCTTATATATATTGCTTCCAGGATAGTCAAGCAATATATTGCAGTAACTTACATACCCCTTCAGTGTGGAATAGACAAGACTGTGGAAATTAGCCAGTTTACTTTTTTTGTAGTTTCATAGAAGATGATACCTAGTTGAGGTAAGTGGTCCCATTTTTTGAAACTTAGTCACAGATAACCTCAGCTGCATCAGCTTTTTAAACCATACATATTTCAAGAATGGTGATAACTTGATAATACCTATTTTTGAAACCACGATCTTTTAGTCGGAGAAATGTAGTGATTCATTAGATTTTTTCCTCTGTTTTTCATGTCGGAAAAAACAATAAACAAGTGTCACAAACTAAAAGTTCAAATAAACTAAAGTGTCAAATAAACTAAAAGTTATTGATTTTTAACGACAGGAATATAAGTATCAACCTCATGTGAGTAATCAGGATACGTACGGCGATCACACGTAAAATAGTCAATGCCAAATAAGTTATAAAAGCTTCGGTATAAAAGTTAAAGTATATATATTCGGTATAAAAGGTGCACAACATACAGTATTATGAAATACAGTAAGACGTATTAGTTTTATTGTTCTCGTACTGTCTCTGAGTTTCGTTTACGTCGTATTCTCAGACTCGTTTCATTATAATCTATTTATAAACATAATGCAGAGATATAAAGTTGTCAGTGAAATAACAAATAATGATTATAGGCTACTTTTTTGCATGAAATTAGATTAGCACAAAAGTATCGGCGGTGATAAATCTATATAAGAGGCACACTCTCTGTAATCCATGTCGATTATAACAGAGAAGCCTTCGTTTCAATTGAAACTTAAAGCTTTCAAAAAGTGGTAGGAAACTACTAAATCCAGATTTTTCACTCATTAGATTGTTCATGTATGCCCTACGCAGTTAACTGAATATTTTCATAAATCTCTAACAACTTGCCCCTGTATCAACAGGACAGGGTTTATGCATCCATCATCTATTTACAAAAAAAGCGATACATTAAACGCTGCTACTAGTCCTTTTGGGTGGAGTAGACAACAAAAATCGGTGAAACGGTAAAAGTTAAGAAAACTAAGCGAAAGTGACCGATACAACCTGAAGGAAGCATCTATGGGAATTACGCAGACTTTTGATATAGACAGGTCGGAAGCTCATCCAAGAGTGTAATACTGGTTTACTAATAAAAGGCAAGGGCGACAGCGAATGACATTGTGGGCGACCGTGTAATGTAACGCGTCGTATTGGAGAAATCAGTGCTTGTGCTGAAGTACGTAGCTATTACGATTGATCCGTCTTAATATTGTGAGCCTTATAGATTTTTATTATCGATACTCTGGAAAATTGTAATGATGCTTCTATTAATTGTGACTCGATACGGTCATATGTATTACCTGGACTCGATAACCGGCAATATTCAGTTGTTTTTGTGATGAATCATCCGAAGAGACTACTTCTCAAAGCTTTTCCTTAAACGAATAACAAGTAAACCATTACAGACATTACCCATCTTACAGTTTAGCGAGCAACAGACACCAGGCCAGTTCATCCGCCAAAGATGAGAGCCCATACACAACCTGTGTAATGGTTTGTGCACAAGTATTCACACGGAGCTGTATCGACATGTATGAAAACGTTTTTATAAGTAAGACTGTAAATTTCGCACGTCCTCCGAAGTGCGATGTGGCGATACGTTTGCTTTCGAGCTTGAGAACAGAGCACGCCGCGTATCTTTTGTATTCTGAGGGTAACTACTTTTTGGAACATTGTTTACCCTGCATCTCATATGCTATAGTAGACGCTGGCGAATATTGTCTCGGATTAGACATGAATATAGGTGGATACACAGATTTTCAACTGATCAGAAGACAGCTTAATGACAGATTCTATGTGATGTACATATTGCTGTAAGTAATGCTATGTTATTATCTCTCACGGGCGTACACGTCTACTCTAAAGCAGTCCTTAATGAGCAGTTAACATTTTAACGAATTTTCTATTATTGTTTTTTCAAATATTGAATTTGTCACTCGCAACGCTCGAGTGTCGCTCATAAAACCTAATGTGAATGAGTCATTTGAATTTATTTCTCACGCGCAAAAACAGTTTACTTAGATGAGATGATTTTTCTAAATGTGGCGTAAAGGCATCGTGTGATTACCTGTATGCTCAGCCTTTCATAACACCACTTATAAACATGTTTTAAATGTAAATTGTTTTAAATGTTTTAAATGTTAAAGCTGCCTGTTAAAGCTTACACTGATTTAAAAAATACCGAATAGACTAAATATTTTAAACAGCTCTTACCTAATCTGCGACTAACCTTGTATGAATCTTTGGCAATAATAGGGCTCCAGTACCGTCCCCCGACCGGGAATACTTACCCTGGTCACCTTCCAGCCCTTCAAATATTACCATTTATCAACTGGGCCGATCTCTTCGACCTCACTTTATCGAACCCCAGGAGGCCGACACAGTAGCTTTGTGGAGGTTGGTTAAACAACACATAGGAAAGTATGGTGTCCTAGGTTGGGCTTTCTGAATGACATTCTCATTAATTACGCTCATGTTATGCAACACGATTGTTTGCTATGTATGCGTAATCACTGAATTTGTGCTTCAAAGTTAAAGCTTTTAAACCAAATAGTATTTAATCTTATATTTTTCTCAAAAAGAATAGTATCAAAAATTGTTTAGTTCATTCGTATCATTCGTGTAACCGTATTTTGTGTCATTCCTCTGGTTTATCTTGTTGCTACACCTATGCGTTACAAAAACGATAAATCTCTAATTTAGATTCTTTGCCTATAAATCTCTAAAGCGAATAAAACACCTTACGCTGTCTTCAGGTCAGTGCTTCCCCAGATGACGGACAACACTAAACAAGTTGAACAGGTGAGTTGGAATCAAACGTAGAGTGATTCTTCATGTCTGTTTATTTGCTGTATGTCCCACTAACATTCTGTTCGTCTATGTTACTAGGTACACACGTTCTTCCTCAGCTTCCAGCGTATTGCGCTTATGTACACCTTTTTTTTAAGTTGAATAGTTAGTTTCGAATATAGAAAAAATAATAGTCAAATGTCATATTTATTATATGTGCAACCATACCGTTGTATTGAATCAACGTATACAGAAAATGACATGCAAACGACCCAGAAATAATGATAATTATTCGAAGATTATTACTATTACAGATATACTTCGGTGTGCATTTTATACAAATATAAATCCTCATTGTTGTTTCCATCTGCTATTGTTATGCAAATTTTTCATACAAAACATCTGATCTCTTTGAAAGACCGCAGATCAAGCGCCCTCCAGCGTGATTTCTATATTTTCCCTTGCTAAGGAATGACTAGATATAACACCATTTAATTAGATGAATTGGGTTTATAGTTTTCAATAAACTTCGTTAAAGTGGTGAAATAAACTATAGAAATGCTAACTGTGTGCGTCTTAGGTGGCCCTTTCAGGCCATACATCGGTTGATCCGGTGTACCGAACACTGGCCTACTCCATGTTAACCGTCGCGTTAGCCTTACTTGTCGCTGTAACTGTGCTACTTGCTATCCTCTACCGACAAACTCGAAGTAATAGTTTTATGTGTGGAGGAGCTACGCCGGAGACCAATTCGAGAAGCTCCCCTGACAATACTTACGATATATACTGACTAAACCAGACACAGCCGGCGCGGATGGAGGGTCGTGCGAAAGCTCTACGTATACGTGGCGGAAACATAGCTTCGCTGAGTAATACGGTGACTAAACAAACGGCCTGGAACAGAACTGGACTGAGACAAGCGGAAGCAAATGACGAAGAAAATATTAGCGACAACTCTAATAAACAGTTCTATGACCAATTTCAACGGCCGAAGCGAAACCGATCCGAAGAAAGCCACCAAAAAATGACCTCTGATATAACTAGATTATGACAGCATTAACAAGTACGAGCTAACCAGTTACTTAAGTCAAAAACCTTTAAATGACAACGGGGTTCATAGTCATCCATAGTTAATTTAAACAAATATACTAGGTAATATTTTATGATATTTTTTGAAATTAATAAATTCGTGTGTACTGGAAATAAACTTAAGTGTTCTATTTGTGAAGCGTGGTAACATAACAAATTCATATACTCGCCAGAGGTGTTTGCCTACTGTGCTAATAATTTGAGATTTTTTAATCCAAATGCTAAAATTTTAATCCGCTAAGGAACCGAAACTTTTTCTATTATGCCATCGGTACAAAAGGCTCACTGAAGCATGGTTTCCGGCATCCTCATACAAAAAACTTTGAATCGTAAAGAGCCGTAGAACAAATAACCTACATACTTAAATTGAATTTAATTTTGAAAAGACTTAATGCGATGTAGCAAGATTTAGTTGTGTCGTAATATAAAAATCCGAATTAAAAGACACACACTATTATTCAAAACGTATTTGATGCTACCAAGTCTAATTCTAGGAAAATATTTGTGATGAAATTACCAATGCGGGGCCAATGCGAAAACGCTATCGATGGTCATTGTTTGGTAAACTTTTTTTGCACACCCTTGAATCAGGTGTGGATATCTTCTTAGCTAAGTTGAAATATTAATATTTTAGTTGAAGACGTTGTCTCTGAGCTCTACAGATAATGGAAAGCCTTTTTTTTAGATTTAAAATGCAATAATCAGCCTGTATGCAAAATGCACAAATAATATAGGCAATTGTTCAGAGCAAAATTAGAAGAAAGAAAGAAATTTAAGTCCTTAATTTCCGTACAAATGCAGGAAGTTAGATAGATAAATTTCTGTTTGTTATGGTTACGATTTTTGCTATTATTTCTTTTGTTACTTCACGGCAGAAACAAAGTAGATATAAGTGTATTTATAGAAATAAGCCGTACATATGAAAACAGAAGATATCCACAGCAATATATTCAATATTTTTTTTTATATAAGAAAGTTCAAATGGTACGTTTTTTTACACAAAAACTGAATGATTTGTATACAACGTTGTCTGATTATTGATGATTGTTAATTATCTGATATCGTGAATCATGCAGAAATTATATATATATAAGAATTATATCAATCCTACATAGGTACTTATTTATTTATATTGATACGTTTCGTTACCCTTTGAAAATAAATTGTCGTTTGAACCTAGCGAAAGTTTGTTTTTTTTTCTCATTTAGTAATTTGACGGTGAAAAACGCACAATGAAACCCAGATTACGAGGGCGTAACAGACGAGTAATCCATGAGACTTGACAAGACTTAACCTATAGAACACCTATCAGTTACTTTTTAAAGCGCTTTCTTACAGCTGCTTAATTTGTTATTCAACTAAAAAAATCCCCTCTTTCTACTAACAGATTGTATTAATTTCCACTATTTGCGAGCTCCTAGCATAAAATTTACTTTTTTGTCTTTTTGCCTTCTACTTTTTTATTTTGACTTATTGACTGATGTAATTTTCTAATTGCTGCTAAAATTGTACATTTTTAAACAATTTGTTTGATTTCTTATAATTGCAAGGGCGTGTTTTTCTGATTATAACCGACCGTCGTTACTTGAAGCCATTGCGAAAAATTGGCTAATAGCAGAAGAGTTTCTTTTGTTCTCCTTTGTCATGTCACTATTATAAATAGATGCCAATATTGAAACGTCTAGGACTGCTATGGGTAAGTTTGACAAGACAAAATCGTTTTCTAGCAGTTCAGTACTGCTCAATTGTTACCTTTCCAGCTTTTAACAACTCAACGACTTTTGATGCTCTACGCTCATCACTGTAGGCAAACAACCCTCCCGTGGGGCCTTGGAGCATATACCAATATAAAATTTTTTCACTAACATCGTAACTACCTTTTCCAAACCACTGAAAACACATTTCACACAAAATGGGTTCAGTTCACTGTTATGCGGGATGTAAGAAGAGCCATTTTTCTACTTACATATGAATCGAAAGGTTAATACAGACTCTTGTTAGTCGAAGAACTATTAACTTAATTTAGTCCTGTGTAGTACAATTTTGCCTACGGAACGGCGAGTAAAAACCGTGTAATTTGTGTAGAGGAATAGTAGTCGAATCTAGATAAATCGAATTCCACAAAGTTATCTCATTATTCTCTTTATTTATAACCATAATGTTATTAATTAATTTCTAAATTATCACAATATTCACGTTCAAACTCAAACGATAGCACATTGTGTTTTTTCTACAGATTTACGGCCATTGCTGCTAATAACATTAATTTAATGCAATATAATAATATGCTACTCAAAATTTATATACGCTTGTACGTCGCCATTGTAAAACACATACACGCAGATCAGACTTCAGTTCAGCTCCTTTGAAGGCTGCCTTTGAACACCACTAATATTATAATCATTATTAATATTTAACAGATTGGAGAATAATCTACACACGTGACCAGCCTTCCTGATGAGCTTTCGCGCTATTCTGTGAACCTTTTGATACCATTCTGACTCCATCACCCACCCTTTGCTTATCCACATGGATATCTGCTAAGCTTTGTACCCCCTGTTTGTTTTTCGTGTTATGTATCTGCATTCCAGATCTAATCAGCACCTATTTCTTCACCCTATAGTACTACTCTACATTAACGAAATGTGTCTATAGATAGTATGCGGCTTTGTATTGTTTGCTGAGAGTTAGTACGATACTGTTTAATACTTCCGTCTGTCTATAATTGTGCTTTGAATAGGGTACATCTTCGATTAGAGTACTTCCTTTTGTCGATTAGAGGCTTCTTGGCGCTCATTTTCTATTTTTTTTGCGTACCAGCGCTTATTATTATAACTATCATGCATATATTTCTTTTTCAAAATTCATTTTTGGCTTATCTGCAATAACGACACCAACACTAATACAAAGTAAAAGCAAAGCTAAGATTTCTACAGGGTTTGTAAAGGGAACTGTCGTCTGCTAGCGCCGAGTCAATATTACTTTATGTCAATTTCTGCTTGAGTAAATATTGTTAACATAGCATTTATTTTTCAATAGTTTAAATCAATATAAAAAATTTCATTCTCTGCAAAATTGCGTCCCTCTCTATCTAATCACACTATTTGTATGGGGACAGGTGTGTACCCCTGCGAGGACACCTATTAACATCGTTTATCATTTAGACATGAGCAACAACATCGCCCGCATTCGAACTCAATAAAGTCGTCTGTTCTTTGGCTAGATCTGGAACCGCTGCGTGTGCTGGGGATCATGCTTTTTACAAGACCTACTCTAATGGAACACACGAGTGAATCTGCATCCCTCTTACAGTGTTAGCGACTGCAACGACTCAGCTCCTTCTGTCGACTCTCTACTAAATGTTAATTTTGGTCTAAATACAAATTAGAGCTCAATAATTATAGCAGGTATATGGTGCGCAATAATTACTTTCCCACTATACGTACTATAGGAGTGTATAAGCTTCATCAGTTTTCATCGTTTCATTTTCTTGTCAGCTTCCTGATCCCCTCCGTCGCCGTAATTTCTTAAATTTCTTTTTATACCTATCTATCTACAAAAAATATGGCGCAATATGACGTTCTGGAATTACCCGTTCGTGATCGGGAACCGCATTAAAGATCTTTGGGTTTTTCTTCTGATCGTTCGAGATCTCCAGCACGGCGGCCACATTGCCACATCTGTAGTACAAAATAGAATGAACGGAACACAGTAAATAGCAAACTATAAACATTAAACGAATACTTTCATTGATGTTGTACAGAAGCGTTAGCTTCTGCTTAAGCATCGAATCTCATTGCAACTCTACCGTACTTATGTATTGGTTATTGGCAAACTTTAGACGGGTGTCTGCATAAAGCTTATTACCTATAACAGTAGTTAGGTGCCGACCAGACAGTAACGAGTTTATCTTCGAACATATATTTGTACCCTTCGTGGACAAGTTGGTGAGCTCGACAAATGAGACTAAGAGAATTGTAAGTCATGAATTCATGAGTTGCTTTTGCTCCGAATAACCATCCGGCTCCCCGCGGAGAGCAGCTCCACGTCTCCACTTCATCGGGATCCGACCACACCAAATCACAAAACGCGCCTTTATGTGGGATTTCCTGGTTCCGTTGAATTGTGCGGATCTGTAAAAGGAAAACAAAGTGGACGCAGGAATAAACATATTGATGTAATTATATGACAGTTGTCTTACTGAATGTCTCCAACATAACCAAGAATGATGAGGAATCACGATAGTTGTTGACTCCGTTCTAGATTGCATGCTTTTACTGTACTAACGGATGCAAAAATTGTTGCCATTTTTCAGGATGTACAAACCTGATCAAGCGCCTTAATTTCTGGGCTAAGTCCCCCATGAACGCAAAATATTTCTCCGTCGATGATCGCCGCTAGTGTCAGTAAGTCGAAAACCTTACAGCAGTATTTCCACGCATTGGCGTTTCCATACTTTTGCTGGCACTCATCGTAAAATCCATAAACTTGCGTGATCTGACGAGATTCGTGATTTCCACGAAGCAATGTCATCTTTTTTGGATACCTAGATATTTCAGATTAGTATAGAAATATATTTAACATCATCTACTGGACCACATTTACGTATACTGTGTGTGGTTTTTGGGATGGGCTTCTAATTTCGGACGAAAAGTTTCCAGTTTTGTGTTTTACGAAGCGCCACCTATGAACTTCAAATGCTAATGGGTTACGGCTCCTAAAGAATAACCAATGGCAAGGTTCTGCTAAAGCTAGGTTTAGTGAATGAAAAGTTCAAACAGTTCCAATAACATTTATTCAGTATCATCAGTAAATGATAGCGGTAGATGTTTAAGAGAGAGGAGAATTCGCTTAAAGTTTTCTGGACTTGGCTGCGCACGTTTGCACACGCATTGCTATCTAACGTCGAGAGAAAGCATAGAAAAACAATTTGGTACGCTGTCCTTTTTTAATCAAATCGCAGCACTCACTTCGCTTTAAGAGTCAGAAGCCGGGTGAAGGTTTCCAGCGAGTAATATCCTCGATCAACAAAATCGCCCATAAATACATAATTGGTGTCCGGAACATGTCCTCCACATCGGAATAGCTCTTCAAGATCGTAGAACTGGCCATGAATATCCCCGCAAACCGTAACCGGCGATGATACTGGCTGTACATTGTTCTCTTCAATCAGAATCTGACAGACCATATTGCAAAGTTTCTAAAAAATAGCAGCAAAACGCGTTAGATAAAACATTTTGATGTGTATATTTCGGCAAATATCATATGGTTCACATTTTCACGCTAATAAATTTTCTCGTTTTATTTGTGAAGACTATGTGATTGAATTCAACTCAAAAATTAAACCAAATTGTTTATTTACAGGAATATATGTAAAAACAACGATTCTTGGATAATTAATGGGAACACATATAATTGAATAATTGCTACTGAAGACGAGCAGTTACAGTGTGGCGCCGTCCATCTGTCCACTATTATTGTGGATCGATGTTTTTTTTAAGTGTAACGCTTTAAATAGTGTTTGACCAAATATGCCAAGTTGACCATACAAGCAAAACACCTGAACACTCAAATCACGGGTAACCTGAACCAGTTTTTTTACCTTTAGGTCTGCCTCGGGTAGATATTTGCACTGTTTGGCAAGTTCTATCCAGTTGTCAATGTCTGCATTTATCTCAACCATTTTGAACTATCCTGATTATGACGCTTGTAGGTTCTAAGCTAAAAAAAAAATATAAATAATGTTACTATACAATTTTTGAAAAAAGTTGTAATCATGCAAAATTTCTATCTTATTATCAATGTAGGCACATTCATTAGCGACAAAAATATTTTAATCAATTGAACAACAGCACAACGACCATAACATTAGCAAGCAGCGGCAACAATAGAGAAATGGAAAACATTTATATACTTAACACATTGATTTATTTGTAGAGCGGATAAAGGTTACCGCCGACCGCACTTCTTGTACGTGGACGGGTAAAAATAGATGAAGTATTGCGAAAAACTTAATTCGCAATTTTTAATTTCTACTTGCCACATTTAAATGTATGGACTTGCTGAAAGCACACATTTATAAACATCCCGACCCAAACAAGCCTTAACATACACGAACCTGAGAAGAAAGAATTATTTTGTTCAGCTTGATGGCCATTTCCCATACATGACACTTCAGCTATTGCTTATGTTTCGCGACTCATGCTAATAAAGCGGGCATCATGAACACTCGTAAAAGCTTGCTAGCTAGACGGTTGATGAGGCTTCGTGGGCAGGGTCCACCACACGAAATGTAGCAACACGTTTTAAAGTAACAACCTCCGTAAGAAAAACTAGAAACATGCTTGAATTGTACATTTCGAAGACAAGCTTGATGAACATCGAGCACTGCAATGCAAATATGATTCCGTTTTTCAAATCAATTACCAACTTATATGATGTATGCATGCACATACTACGATGCATTTCTATACAGCTTCACGAGTATATATCTGTAGACAAATGCGTTAAGGATCTTGAGGATTCGTATCATTTTATTACAATAGGCTCGCTTGCTAGAGGCTCTCGGTTTAAGCGCGCCCACCCGGGCGTGCGAGCTGTTCGTCTGCTTGCAATCCCAGACAAGCGAACTTTTGATGCGTCGCGCTTTTGAATTAGTTATGCACACTTACCCATCTCGCAAACAGACTCGCCGTCGCGTGCCCGCCGGGTCAATCAATTCTCCGCGTTTATGTTGTGGTCGTAGTGGCGTTGGTCTTCTCCAAGTGCGTTGCCGCTACGCAAGACTGCGTCCTTTACATTAGAAAAGCTAGCCATAGTCAGACTTCACCAGACTCGTATACTGCTGACTCTCTGATTCTTGGCGCATTTCGTGTAGTACGGCAAAGCAGTGAATACTTCATTGATAACAAATTCGGCAATAGACTGAGTGAGTTCCTGCTGACCATATACGGGTCGAAGATCTTCGTATTCAAAATACGATAGAAGCAAAGTATGTCACGAGGAGGTCGAGGTCCCCCTGACATCCATGGAATGGTGTCCCTTAAAGTGGATAACCTAACTTATCGGACAACGATCGAAGACCTTAAACGTGTATTTAGGTTCGTGTCGGGAATTTAATGCTTTGTGTGCGTACCTGAAAAACTAAATATCTATACAGCGAGTCGCTCAACTAATTAGTGTGCTAACGAACCAATAACATTTTTAAATAGGCTTTTATTCAATGTAGTTGAATAAATATTGTCATTGTCTGCATGTGCATATAGAAAAAAACGATGCTGCCACGAATTTGCCGCAGTTAATTGTGCCGAATTTGCCCGGAGCGCATCTTACCTACGATGATTAAAAAAGCTGATGAAAATGAAAAACATAATTGTTTACCAACAATAATGGTGGATTTGATTTTTTTAAGCCTGTACATGCCCCATAAGTCCTTGGAAACGTGTGCGATGATTTAACTTGGATTAACATTTAAAGGTTTCGGACAAAATCATGCTATAGATAATTAATACACTGCTATACAACCTAACAGGTTTCTAGGAATATATATACATAGTGTTATCTGATAAATAACCATTTGCTATACACGTTGCTGCGGATACAGAAAATATGGCGATGTAGGAGACGTTTATATCCCACGAAATCCGCGCAATAATGAGTCGCGAGGCTTTGCCTTCGTAAGGTTTTACGACCGGCGAGATGCCGAAGAGGCGATGGATTGTCTGGATGGATACAGGTACGTTTCTTCGTAAGGACTGCTTTATTGGGTTTGTTGCAGTGCTAATGTGTAGTTTATCGAGACTAATTCTTTGCGTATCTAAGTCTCTGCTGTATATTTACTGTTCCGGCAGCTAGTTCCAACTACTGGCCGTTCTGTTCCATGTGCGCGATTATTGGTCTTGCTCAGCTATAAATGGCCACAAACGAAGTGCTTTTGTTTGATTCAGAGATTTAGATAGATGTAAAGAGATGTTTTTAGCCGCTCATTCCCTAGACTTAAAAAAACGTTGTCTAATATGTTCTTGAAACGCGCTTTTATTTGATTTAATGAGTATTGCACTTATTTAGTTCCATTCCTCTGATTTTTTAGTAAGCTTTATTACCATTATTGTATATGTTCATGATCCTTTTTTCAGATTGGACGGTCGCGAGCTCCGTATCGCTATGGCCAAGTACGCACGGCCGGGTGGTCGCGGCGGCCGCGAGAGGTCTCGTTCAAGGGATCGCCGCAGTCGGCGGCGAAGCCGAACACGTTCCCGCTCTCGCGACAGGTAAGCTGAAATATTATATGTACGTCGGCAGTTTGAAGAGTTTTCAATGACACAGAACGGTCTTTTTTTTTCCTTTGTTAAATGTTGTTTTACTTCTCTACTGTTTTCTGTTTGACGGAGTCTACTCGTAGGTATATTCACCCTTTTCAATGATGCACAGTTCTCTCTAGTTCATTCAAATAGTAAATAGTATCGTAGTCTGTAAAAATATGCTTTTACGAACGTATTTTCCTGTTCCGAAACAAAAAAATCGCCGAGAGCCAGATCAAACAAGTAAAATCGTTAGTCAATTAGCTCAAACCGCAATTTTTTGCCATGGCTATCATTAAGGTGTGAGAGGTGCGTTGTGTAAGTTGAACATTTTTTTCTTTGCTGGGTGAGAACATGTTCTCTTCTGGCAAAGTTCTACCAAAATTAAACGTTGAGCAAATCGATATTGTTACATTATTTTTCCAGTTTTACAGGCTTTTTAACTTAATGCGCTGTTGATTTCTATTTGCTTATATATATATATATATATATATATATAAAATTCCTACGATTCCATTCTTAGTATTCCATTTATATTTGGATACAGTTCCAAAAGTTGGGTAAAAAAGCGTTCTATTGCAATGTCAAAGTTCAATGTTCAAATCAAACATGAGTCGTGCTTTGGAATAATAAACCCTTGTATGAATTCTTAAAATTGAATAAACACCAGCTTAGTAATCAGCTATCTTCATTAAAATACTCACTCTTTCAATTCCTACTCGCTGTTTTCTAGACGTTCCCGCTCGCGTTCGCACCGGCGCCGATCGCGTTCGGATTCTCGTAAGCGTTCCACGTCAAAGGACGATGATCGTAACGACCGCAGATCGCGATCGAAAGAAAGAGACCGTTCATCTCGAGACAAGTCCCGCGATCGTTCAAGGTCAGGCGACAGAGATCGAAACAGGTCACGATCAAAGGATCGAGACGCCTCCGCCGACAGGGAGCGCGATGATCGGTCACACTCTCGAGAAGCGTCAAGGGATCGGGATGACACATCGCCCACCCGTGACACGGACCGGGATAATCGATCTAGGGACCGCGATGATGAATCACGGGAAAGAGATCGGGACGATTCCAGAGAAAGAAGCAGGTCACCCATTGATAGACAGGGACAGCGGGATTCGGAGGAGCGTAATGGTGACGCTGGCGACGATGACGACGAAGACCATAGCCGATCTCCTGAGGGCTCTCGTGACGACAGAGACGATTGAAATCCGCGAAGAAGTCCAAAGCATTCGAATATATTATATTCTGATGACGACCAAAAAATGAGGGCAAAACCCGGACATCCGTAAGACGGAAAAGGAAAATTTAAGGAGGGCTGTAATGAACGGGTGTGAATTGAAATGAGATAATATCAAGCTGACACGTTGCGAAATCAAAGAAAAAGCGGCCAGCACGGTATGGTATTCAAAAGAAAGCAAGAAGCTGGTGCTGACGCGTTGTCGACAGCATGGCAGAGTAATGGAAAGAGACAGCGGGAGACGTGTCAGTGAATGAAAACGGAACGACCGATTTGAAGATGAGATCAGTTTGCCTCACAGTGATCTCAAAATGTGCAGATTTCTCGACCGTAATCGTTCACTGATAGTTTCAAGCATACAAGCTTCTTGGACAGAAGTGCCGTAAATGGTAAGCTTATTAAGATGCTTGTTAGATGGACACGGCAGTTCATTTTTTGAGAATACGTCGTAGACAACCATAAGCGATTCAAAATACTTATTGCTTGAACGAGTTAAGCTAATGGTTCACTTTATCTTCTCTACTAACCCTAAAGGTTGCAGTGGCAGCTGACGACCTTTTGTAGCAATAAAGATAGCAATAGTCGAACTACGACTTTTCAAAGATGGGTTCCGGTGGCGTATTGAATTGGTTTTTAAGATTGGGTGCACAAGTCGGTACTTTTGTATGATATTCGTTGAGTGCTATGAAGTTCAGTATTAACTGATAAAAGTAATCTCTAGGAGATATTATTATGCCTTTCTTCCGCTTTTTGTGAACAAGATCGACATTTTCTCTCAGCTGTGCTACTCTAGTGACTAATTACCCAAACTGCAGACAGAGAGCCTTTGTGATATATAACTGTCATGTACCACCTGCCTATTGCAAAACCTAGTTTAGACTTAGTCTGCACTGTTATGCCTTTTCTGTATACGTATAAACAGAAACGTCGAAAATACTAAATACCAAAATAGACAAACTTTTCAATGTTGTGCTACTACTACAACCTACTTTTCAGAACAGGTTTTGGTAGTAGCACAACATTTTTGACAACTTTGGTTTGACTATGGCATTAAGATGAAATGCTGTATTGTAGGCATTGCCGTGGTGTTTCGGTGGTGTTGGTGGTGCAAGCGTACGCGGCGCCGAGGTGCGTGACGTGGTGAAGCCTACGAAAAAGCGCGGAGAGAGGCCAGCTCAGCCTGAAAATTATATGGTGGCGATTGTGGTCGTGGTATCGTGGTGGTGATGAAAGCGCGGTGTGCTTGCTGCTTGGCGAAAAAGAAAGCTGATCTTGGTGAGCTGTTTGCGCACAGCCTGCGCCTGGCACAGCTGGCCCTGTTGAGTTCTGCCGTGATAAGCGTGGACGCCCGCCACTGCAATTTACGGCGTCCTGTTGACCTGACCAGCTGACTGAATGAGCTGCTGCCGAACCGCGGACGTAGTACTGCGGGTTCACAGTGTTCGAAAGCGAAGAAACCTGCGACTTCACTACGGCGTGTGAAGCTGCCGATACTGCTGTTGCTGTGTTCGCGTCTGCGAAGGTGGCTAGGGCGTAGTGGCGTCGTCCACCAGTTTATCCATCGCTGGTGCCAGTTAGTTCCAGAGGGATGGGTCTGTAATCATCCTTGCCGATAAGACAACGTGCCGTTCACTTGCCAAATTTGGCTTGGCGGGGATTAAACGATGGGAGATATCTTACCTTTTTTGAGAAAAAGGTCAACAGTACAGGCGGATGTCCATCTTTAATATGCATAGAATTGTTACTCTCTGTGCTTTTAAGACAGTCCGCTTCCGTGGTTAACTTAAAGCATGAGAATTTCGGAGACAAATAGATCTAGACGTAAACACATTTTGTTGACGCGGTGGACAATCCAGTATAAGTCGAAGCTCATTAGGAAGACGTATTCAGCAAATAGCAAGGAATTCACAGGTAGCTGAGTGAAGAATATGTTGCAATCGCCTAGTTTTTCGAGATCGAGATGGCGAAGATGCTGCGGCTGTTAGTCTTGTCAGGTGGTATCTATCTACCTGCCATCCTGTGTGTTCGAGAAGGTGCACCGCCACACCGAAACGCGCGCAGTTTGTGATTTTTAACTCAGTAATTCTAGCTGCCAGCATCGTTCCTGTCTGTACCCGTTGGAACCGACTCGGATTTGAGCGACTGTCACAGTTGTTCTGGTTTGTTCATCAGTGAACTCGATAAGCGAAAAATCGAGAGCGGGAGTATTTATAGATGAAAAAGGCCTTATTCTCTCTCTAGAAACTTTGATCGCGCCAGCATTATAAACGAAGTAGTGTTTTTTGTGATTTTGCACGGGTTAACGTTATAGCGGTATTTGACTACGAGATTTGTGCATTTGTTCTAGCTTTTTTTTCTGTCCCACGGTATTCCTGCCTTTGAAATGAAAAAAAAAGCTTTGGCCATTTCAAAGGCCTGCAATGACTTGTCTTTTGTGTTTCTTATTATTCTAGTACGACATTTTGTAGTCCATTAGAGCCTAAAAAACGTTGCGTACGTTGGCCTGACCTTGACAGGCGAGAACGTCTTGATTGAATTTCTCACGCTTTTTTATTTCCAGGTTTCGCGGACGTGGCCATTAAAAACATCGGTATGTATTCTTCATTTGGGAAGCCATCTCAGACAGGTAAATTATAATTTATTTACCGAAAGCAACATCTTTAAAGCGGTATTATCATGTATTTGAATAGTCATCTTCAAATATAATTACGTTTTCTTCCAACATTCTCGCGTGTTCTTATTTTAATCATGAGCATCTTATTCCCACTAAAGACTTACGTCATTACGAGAAAAACACAACGTTCCTCAAATCAGTAACCTTCTAATAGTACAACCGATTTTAGTCTAATAAAAATATATAATAGGTAGAAAAGTTTGGCCCTTTATTTAATTCAATCCAAAAACTTTTTGATACTGGGTCTACATCCTATATAAAAATAATGCAATCCTATATAAAAAAAATTCTTTGTTGAATAATACACATCGGTAATCAACGACACTGTAAGATTACAAATGTGACAGAAAATTGTAGGAACAAATTGCAAAACAGTCAGAAAAAATCTTGTAAATATATTACTTATCTTTAAATATTGCAAACGAGTGTAGCGCCACAGGCCAACTCGAAAAGACTGCTTACAGAAAAGACTGATACATATACATAGGAAGGCATGAACAATCACGCAACAGGCAGAGGAGTTTTGCACTAACTCAGTGAGCAAAGCTTCAAACCAACTATATAAGAAAAATGCATGAAGTAGTCTTGGCAAATATTATGTATCTCATCAATAGTGAAAAATTCAAATTCGGAATAAAATTTTTCATTTTAATTTAATACCTAAATTTTGAATTAAACAAATTACAATTGTCTGGTTTACAGGTTTAGCTTTACTCACATTTAATAACTATTTTTTTTGGTTTCGCTGGCATATTACGTTTTTTTTAAGAAAATTCGAATCTCGGTTTGTCATAGTTGTGGCGAAATTTCAGTGACTCAACGTCTTATCCCTTCGTTAAGGCTTGAGTGGTTCTGGGCTCGTCGTCATGAATTTTGTACCTAAAAAAAATAACTGAAAAGTGTGAAAGCATTATATCGCACAATCTAGATAGGCAATTCGATTGCTTAATTGGAGCATCGCATGCTCACAATATATTTCAGGAAATGGTGACATTGTTTGATGCAACACATGATTCACCCTATTCATTTAAGGCATATTTAAACTGGGTTATCTTGTCACAGTACCGTTCATTATTGACTGTTTGTACATTTCCAGAAGAATGGTAAAATGATAGAAAAATGGTTCCATGGTGCCTTGAACCGAAATTTCGCATAAAACAGAATTTTTTTTCCCATAGAGAGTACGTAGATTCTCGTCACTCCAATGATAGAATTCCGCTCTGCTTACGAAGCAATGCGTACTTTATTTATAAAGGTGATTTGATTTGGAAGATTCATCATGTAGTTCACTTTGTTGTTGTCCAATTACCCAGCTGACTATGTGTCTTCACTGTACATGATCTCTTGACTTGCGTCTAGCAAGCTAAAAATTTTTAGGTAAGAAGGCGTAAACTTTTCGTGAGACTATGTTGCATATTGCTTTCTTGGACACGGTACCAAAACCCGCGGCGATAGTCTGATAAACAGGGCTGATATGTTTTTTTGAACGAGCTGAACGGCTTGGCATCAATCTACTTAGTCTCTTAAAATTATTTAAGAGGTTTATTCATTTTTAACGTTCTGAGTATTAAATTTGCGAATCGTGGTAGTCACATTGTGTTGAAACTGTTAGTTAATGAGTATTTAGCAGTAAGAATGCGTTGTGCCGAGCAACCCATTTTTAATAATGCGGACTGTTTATAATCGAATTGCGATAATGATGTAATCGTCAAAGCATAACAGCAGAAACGGTAAATTTAAATTTTGCGATTTTGGTGGGACGTATTGTCTTCCGCGATTACTGCAAGCAGATGTACATACGTCCTGGCGAAATCAAAAAACCAACGTCTGTATCGATAGGACGATGAGTGATACTGTAGTAGCGACATTTAGTTTTTATGGCTCACAAATATTGCTGCGCAAGGACAGACCGATGGCGGTATTCTATATTATGACTGTTTTTTGGCCAGAGCACGGATTATCTTTTTGTTTTTGGTAATGTTGCTTACGAATAGGATTAACTTATTAACGAGTTATGCTGATACACATACCGAACAAACAATTAAAATAAATTATTATGAATTATATACTTGAGCTCGTTAAAGAAGGCATAGGAACAATCTGGAGTACGGTATAAACTTCTCAAATAACTTCAAAACAACAAATAGTACAATTGTTATTTTATAGCATACCGCAGTGATTTCGATGATGAGGATGCGGTATTAAAACTTCTATAACGAGCCAGCTTTAAGTCGCAGTACATTGATGCAAACTGTTTTTTATGGATATCTTTCTGCGCGGAATTCGTATGAATGTTGTGAATTTTACGACATGCGATGTTACTGGAGTTAGAGGTCCTAAAGAGTTATCTGAACCCATTGAAGATACAGGCGAGAAAAATCCGAGTGATTTGAACTTGCATACGAGAGAGTATCTTTACGGTGAGAAATTTGCGTGCCAGTGACAAATTTGATGACGTGCAAAGGTGCCCATTTTGGTGCAGAAGTATGCCAGCAAAATATGAACAATGCGGGTTATGCTATTTTGTATAGCATTTGTCGAAATAGTGATTTCTGTTGTAATCGAGTACAACACCTTGCTCAGTGAACTTGAAGGTATGTGAATCGCTGACTACACAGTGGGGGTCAATTATCTGAAACAAATTTGTCAGCTGTTTACCTGTTACTATGCTTTTGTCCCATTTTATGATTTGAATACCTATCGTGCAAACAAGAATCCACCAAGCCATCATGGAGACACTTATCGATTTTGATTTGAATTATTGAAACTGATTGATGTTTATTTATTATTGGATATCTGAAGTCATGTGCGATGCTTAATAATCTTGCGTACAGTACAGGATTACCAAACAATCACGGTAATAAGCGGAAGCTGGTGAGGCTGACAACAGCACAGCAGACTCTAAAGGAATCATAAGAGTTTGTTCTTCGCATGGACTGTACTGTTGATAACGTATCCAGCCGACAGTGTAATAATGATCTGTACTGTGGTACTGGGGGCAAAAAACGAACACTTACAGGCTTCCAAGAACAATAAGAATTAGGAAAATATCGGACGACTATTAAATTAATTTTTAACCAAGCATCTTTTAGGAAATCCTATCATTTACCTGAATAGTAAGTAACGCCACATAAAATTTGCGTAGATGTGATATCTTGAGAGAACCAAACTAAGATGAGACAAAGATTTAATGAGATTTCATAAAAGGATAGGAATAGACGAAATTACGAATTTCATCCATTTTTATGAAAAAGAACAAATTGCTGGTATTACACCACAGCGCCAAACTAAAAATACGAGTAGTGATACGAGTAGTCAGGATAAAGTGAACCATCACGTTACACGAAGAAAAGCTTATGTTTTGCCGGGACGGTGTCTCGAATTAAAGTCTAAGTTAAATGCTAAATAAAACAGATAGTTAACGTGCAAGATAAATACAATGAATAGCATTTGGTTAGTTTAGATAAAAATCAGTTGAATAAAATAGCAAAAAAATAAGTATTTGATTTTTTCGAGAGACACTGATTCTTGTTTTTTTGCTATTCAAACTGTGATATACCCTCTCATTCCCAGATACATCTATAAACCTATTCATTCATTAAAAAGTTTATCCCAATTCCCGGTTCTTGAGCAATTCGTTACAGGCTATTGCATACTATGTATCTGTAGTATTTTCAACATTGTATCATCATTCATGCAGTTCAGTTATATACACTTAACTTTACTCACTTGCAGAAACTGCAAGGGCACACTATTCTTAACGAAATATGAGAGAGGCGTCCTTTGTGGAGATGACTGGCCTATTAGGTTGCTGCGTTGCTTAGTGTCTGTGGATTTTTTGGCCGTGACGTATTTCGTGTTGTATGGCGTCGAAACTCCCTTTGGGTACATCGAAGAACTCGATGGCGGAAACTTTTGACACGTGAAGTTTACGTGTGTTGACCGATGGTATGCATACGCTAAGTGGTTCGTATTTATAAGGAACGCCTGTTCGAGTGGTTTCCTGAAAAAGGAGCGCTGATGTGGCCATCTGCTTAATCCACCAGGTGAACTACCCAGACACAAAAACCAACGAGAGCAAAAGTTCCATGAGAAAGAAAATAAATTGGCTTACGTTGGAGTAATGATGCTAGAAAATTGCGAAAGGGTCATTCATTTGGATTAGTACCATCACTGGTGCTTAACTAAATGTGATAAAATAATAGTGTTAATTACTAAAATGTAATTGGAGTGACATTGGAGTTAGTATGTTGAGTTAAATAAAAGTCGACAGACAAAACGGCCTGAAGTACCTTTTTTGCAAGAAAGATAGGCCCGTAGCTCGTTTGCTTGTTCTGCCTGTGTTCACTATTTATTTATTCTGTACTCTGCCTAGAACGTTCTTTGGCTACTACACCAGCCGGGCCTAAGGCAGGAGTATCATCATTTGGTCCGCTCCTTGTGAGGTGGCCCTATCCAGCATCAGATAACTTAATTTCTTATGTTTCTAATAACTTTACAATATCTTGAGGAATATCTGATACATGGCGAGCAGAATACCACTTGGTAATTGGCTGTAGTATTGCAGTGTTCTGTCCTATTTAACAATTGCTTAATTATATCGACATTTACGAGTTCGCAGATTTGTTAAAGAACTTCATTTCGCTGTAACTCGTCAGAGATATATTTCTAGTAACGTTTTAATTGGTACCTTTGTTTTGACATACGTACTACAAAACTGAAATAATGTGTTCTACGTTTTCAACTTGTGAAAAATGCTAACGGTACGTGGGTAACAATTCAGCTGCTACAGGGTGACAGCAAGGAGCAAGTATTTTTGAACGTGTCCCCTGTAGCATGTAAGTGACGCATATAGCCTCCTATACCAAATATACTGTATA